TTTGGATGTGTAACTTCTCCCACAGTGTGGTACAGGTACAGTTAGAATGTGTAACTACTCCCTCAGTGTGGTACAGATGTAGTTAGAATGTGTAAGTTTGGATGTGTAACTTCTCCCACAGTGTGGTACAGGTACAGTTAGAATGTGTAACTACTCCCTCAGTGTGGTACAGATGTAGTTAGAATGTGTAAGTTTGGATGTGTAACTACTCCCACAGTGTGGTACAGGTACAGTTAGAATGTGTAACTACTCCCTCAGTGTGGTACAGATGTAGTTTGGATGTGCAACTACTCCCTCAGTGTGGTACAGATGTAGTTTGGATGTGCAACTACTCCCTCAGTGTGGTACAGATGTAGTTTGGATGTGTAACTACTCCCTCAGTATGGTACATATGTAGTTAGAATGTGTAAGTTTGGATGTGTAACTACTCCCAGAGTGTCGTACAGGTACAGTTAGAATGTGTAACTACTCCCACGGTGTGGTACAGATGTAGTTAGAATGTGTAAGTTTGGATGTGTAACTACTCCCTCAGTGTGGTACAGTTAGAAGATATAAGTTTGGATGTGTAACTACTCCCACAGTGTGGTACAGGTACAGTTAGAATGCATAATTACTCCCAGTGTGGTAGCCAGGGAATTATAATACACATGTTGGCTGGCTCCATCCCGACAACAGCTGGTACGACACACAGTTGGGTGGCTACAACTTAACAACAGAATCTGTTTACTTCAGTAACATTCAAGTTGCTGATTTTTCACACAACTTTTAGTCTCTAATTAGAAACAGAATCAAGAACCCAGGTGCTAATACTATAGAATACTTCAGTTGTACAAATAAACACGTTGCTGAGGCTTAAGAATATAAAAGTCTGTGCTTTGAATCCATCTTAAAAAATCAAGTTGTTGAGGGTTTTAGAGTGTAGAAATGTGATATTTGAATATGTCTTGAAACAAAATTTATGATAAACTTTATAATCCTTATCGCCAAGAGATGTGATGCCATAAAAACACACATCCACAGTAGAGATCTGTTTGTTAAACAATGTGTTAACTTCTGTAGAGGAACTTGAAATTATTTATTTATTTAAAACACCAAACCGAAGTTCATTTCCAAAATGGAAGGATTTATAAATCAAAGCACTACTTAAACAGCTTTCAGTTCTATCCTAGCAAAGAAATAAAATCAGGCTTCTATTGCTCTTCAGTCATTCAAAGAAACTTCTAATACAAAATTTATCATTGTCCTGAAATGGCTAGGTACTTTGTTTATTTTCCACTAAAATGTCATCTCTTGATCAAAAACAATAAATATGTTTGAAAAACTTAATAGGACTAAGTGTGAGCCATAAAAAAGAACACAATTGTAATTTACTAAGAGAATCCTAAATTAGGCTAAAATTTTCAAAATCTACACCTCTGAAGGCACTACTTCTAAATGCCACCGTCATAAAATTTTTCCAAACCAATAGTGTAATGATGATTTTGCAATCAACAATACAGCAAGTATTAAACACATGGATATAGAACAAAACTTCAAAAAATCAAGAAATGCTAACTGATCTGTTTTACACAAAACAGAAAAATACAATCCTAAGTTAATCATTTAGTTAAAAACTTTCTAAGTGTTGCGTACTTGAATATTAATGCCATCTACCAGTTCGTATGTTTAAATAATGTAGCTATAAAGACAGTTCTTTAATAAAAATGAATAAATTTCTTTGCTCTATTAAGAAGAAAAAGATATAAAAATTTTTTTTCCAGTGTTTGTACTTCTTTCAGTGTTAATACATGTATAAATATAGAACTAAAAATGTACCCATAATATAAGAATATAGTGGCCTT